AGCTTAGGGTGTCAGAAGTTTCCCAAATTCTAATTTCATTTGAAGGCCTGAATTTTATCATTGGGAATAAATACTGTCAGTTGTTTCTTGACAGGCTTGCTTTGTTCATAAAAAAAAAAAAAACCCAAAACTGACAAATACCCAAATCTGAATAACCAGTTTGTCAGTCAAGTAAAATTGGTGTTCCATAAAAAATAGAGACTAGTTCAGCTCACAACTCAAACAGTATTTGATTAGAACAAATGGCAATGTCGTGTCATATCATTCAACCTAGTAGACCAAATGCCTTTCCAGACAATTGTCATAAAATATTAAAGACATATATATTTCAAGGGTCAAGTCTTAATAAACTTAGTAATTATTACTGTTTCATCTATGACTTTCTTAAGTGAAACTGGCTTCTCTCTCTCTTTTTTTTCCTTTTTTCTGCAAATGGGTAGTGGTAAAGAATACAATGATGACTAGTTCATTTTGTTGCCATTGCCTTCACTTGTTGTAAGGCACCAGCAATTTTACCCACCATTGTTTTAGTACCATCAGTGCAAACGTCAACATAACTGTTCCAGGATAAATGATGAGATTCAAAAAAATTATTGTATACTTCAAATGATTCAGCACCTCTTTTTTTAAAATTTTATTTTATTTTATTTATTTTTTGGCTGTGTTGGGTCTTTGTTGCTGCAAGTGGGCTTTCTCTAGTTGCAGAGACCGGGGGCTACTCTTTGTTGTGGTGCGCGGGCTTCTCATTGCTGTGGCTTCTCGTTGCAGAGCACGGGCTCTAGGTGCACAGGCTTCAGTAGTTGTGGCACACGGGCTTAGATGCTCCGTGGCATGTGGGATCTTCCCGGACCAGGGCTCGAACCCGTGTCCCCTGCATCGGCAGGTGGATCCCTAACCACTGCGCCACCAGGGAAGCCCCGATTCAGCACCTCTATGTTTGTTGTCAAACATTCACATGAAAGATCTTTGATAATTAGTTGGTGCTGATACCTGATGAATACAACCAAGATAGCAAGTCCAGACAGTCAGCAGATCTATCCATTTCTAAGGCAAAAGTGCAGTTCTGCAGAAAAGATCAGTTTTAAAGTTTGCAGTCAAATCTTTAATTTGATGAGTTACTATAACATTGAAAAGTGGCAGTGCCATGGTTTCTTTTGCTGACTTTTCCTCTAGAAGGCATTCAGCAAGATAAACTCTGCCAGGCTTTACTGCTCTCTCACCTATGATGTTCACTTCTTCAGCCAGTTATGCTGTAAGATATTTCACTGGATCTTTCTCCTCAGGTTTGAAAAGCTGCACCAAATAATTTTTGGCTTCTCAAAAGTTCATTACATCTTCATTTAAAACGTCAGTTCCTTTTTAAAAACTCTGAATGACTGGTCTCAAAATGGTGTTACTACTTAACTGGTGTCATATTACTATGCAGAAATGTTCTATTGCATAAGACACAATAAGGCAAATTATTAACATCTATAAAGCCAAGGAAAAGAGCATCATCATATTTTTATTTTATACTTACAGTTCCTTGCAATTGCTTTGGAATAGTTTTCTTCCTTTCATGAGTCAGGGAACTCTCTGATCTGTCATTTTCATCTTTTTCTATATCTTTAGATGTAGACCGAGCATCTGAGCCTTGAGGAAATGAGTCTTCTGATCTCCCTTTCTAAAGTAAAAGATTGGGCTCCAGACTCAGACAGATAAGGATTTTAATCTCTTCTCCACCCATGATGAGCAGTGTAAACTGTGTAAATTCTCAAAGGCTCATTTTTCAAATACTGTTTCTGTGGTCAGGAATCTGGGAGTGGCTTTGAAAGAGGGATTTCTAACTCAAGGTTACTCATACGACTACCTTCAAGATGCTGGTCAGTGCTGCAGCCATCTGAAGGCCAGATGTGGAGCTGGAGGATCTGCTTCTGGAATGGCTCACTCACATGGCTAGCAAGTTAGTACTAGCTGTTGGCCTCAGTGGACTTTTCCAGAGAGTCCTCATAACATGGTTAGCTATCTCCACAGAGTGAATGCTACACAGTGTTTGATTAGAACAGTGGCAGTGTCATATCACTCAACCTAATAGACCACATTGAGTTTATATTTCAACATTTAAATGAGCATTTAAAGTTAATTTTTGTAGTGATATTAACAAATAACATTCTTGACTGTGTGTTGGGGGTTGTGGTCTTTTTTTTTTTTTTTTTTTTTGCGATACGCGGGCCTCTCTCACTGCTGTGGCCTCTCCCGTTGCGGAGCACAGAGTATGGACGCGCAGGCTCAGCGGCCATGGCTCACGGGCCCAGCTGCTCCGCAGCATGTGGAATCCTCCTGGACCAGGGCATGAACCCGTGTACCCAGCATCGGCAGGCGGACTCCCAACCACTGAGCCACCAGGGAAGCCCAAGGCGGGTGGAGGTTGTGATCTTTTAAAACAGTATGATTGCTTTGACATTTCGTAGAAAACTTTATTTTGAAACAGTCTACTGACCGTATTTATCTATATTAAGTTCTCCAGAAGCCGTGATTTTGAAGTTTGAATTTTTATATACCAAGTGAAACAGGAAATAATTTTAGGGGGAGAATTAATTTTTTTTTTTTTTTTTTTTTTTCGCGCAGGCTCAGCGGCCATGGCTCACGGGCCCAGCTGCTCCGCGGCATGTGGGATCTTCCCGGACCGGGGCACGAACCCGCGTCGCCTGCATCGGCAGGAGGACTCTCAACCACTGCACCACGAGGGAAGCCCAAGAATTAATTTTGTAAAAAAAAATATTGGCCGTGAATTTATTTGGATGGCCATTTAAGGCCTTTATTATACATAAAATGTTAGTGGGAAGGAAAAAAAATCCAAATAGATTTTATTGAGAAAGCCTAGTATCTCATTTGGAGCATCTTTTAAGTGATTTTGGTTTCTGAGGAACTGCAATTACTGGAGCCTTGTTTTCTGCAGATACATCAAGGGAGCTGTTTTCTTTTTCTTTTTTAAAAAATTTACCAAAACTCAAAAACTGGCAGGAGGGAAAGGCAGCAAGAAGTTCCTGGGGCAATACAACATTTGTGAGAAACAAGGAAATATTTACTTTAACACCTGCACCAGGGTCTTGTACCACCTATCAATACTGAATAACAATTCAAGCTCTTTGTCTCCCTCCTCCCCTGCCTCCCTCATTTCTTCCTCTTGGGACCCTAACAGTCTACTTTCCCTGATTTCCCTGTGATCTGAAGTTGGCATCCCTATTCACATGGTCGTCCAGCCCCAAACCATAGCCTGGTTGGGGACTCCTTCATTGCTGCCCACCTCCAACCCGGTGCGACCAGCGCATTCTGCCTTAGCAATGCTGCCCAGGTCTGTTTTCTTTTTGTTTACTTTCTTCTTTCCCACTGCCTCTGCCCCAGGGTCACGTCAGTTCTCTCTTGGGCCATTACGGTGGTTTCTCTCCTCCTTTGAGCTGCTTCCGGATTAATTTTGCCCGCCCTAAATTCTTTCATGTTCACTCAATGTTTATTAAAGACCAGTGTGTCAGCCTGTTACTGGAGGTGCTCCACCCAAAAACACCAAGTTACCTTTCACATTTAACGTTATGGTCTTCCCTTGACTATCCTAGAAGGGACTGTAAGCTTTTATCTGACGCCTTTTCTTTAATTCTTTGCTCATGTCGTTCCCTCTTCCTATAAATGCTGTGGATTGAAACCTCACCCATTCTTTGGGGCCAACCTCAGATGTCACCTTCTTTGCAAAGATTTTCCTCACGACCTCATCTTGCCTTCGCTAGACGTTCTTTTTAGGACACTCACTGAACTTTGTATCCCTCATGATATTTAATCATAATTGGTTTCTTTTAATATAGCATGTGTGTACTTACCTTATTAAAAGATTATAATGTACTTGAAAGGACAGACATAATCATTCATCTTTAGTTCCTGCTAACTCCTAGCCACGGTTTTAGCAAGTAATTGGACTTCACTACAAAAGTTGTGTAACTCCATTAAAGTATTTAAGATAGGAAAGAGCAAAATTCCTGTGCTTATCCGACACAATGGACAGTTATGCAGCATAAATAAATTACATATATGTAAATAGACACATACATGTATGTATACTTGTCATTTTGCTAAGACGTATTTGTTTCAGTATGGAAGTTTACAGGACACCGCTTTTTATTCCTGGCCTGCATCCAAAAAAAAAAAAATTGTTGCCCGGATTATAATTTGAGGACAGAAAAAAATGGCTTCAACATCTCTCAGTTTGGGATTTGGCCAAAAGGTACGTTGGCAAACGCTTACTAAACTGAGAGGAGACGGCCCTTTAAGAACCTCCTGGGGACTCCTTGTCTGGGAGACGCCTCGACTGGGGCTGGCGAGAAGCTCGGTGCAGGGCGGCGGGAGGGCTGCGCGGCCCGCACCTTCCAGCACTTTCCTCCGCCACGGAACCAGGCCAACCTGTTCCCACCGCCGCCTCCCGCCTCCTCGCCACCCAATACGGGCGAGGCCCACGCCACGCGCCCTCTTCCCGGGCGCCTAGGCCAGGCTCGGAGCGCGCCGAGGCAGCGCCGGCCCCGACATCCGTCGGTTGGCGGCCGGGGCGGGGGTCCGAGGGCCAGGAGTCCACGTTCCATCGAGGTTTCTAGGCGAAGGGCAGGAAAACAACTGGTCGGCCTGGGCGGGGCCTGGAGGGCGGAGCGAGGGCGGAGGGCACGTTGCCTCATCCTGTACATTTTACTGGAAACGGGGCGCATCCGGAGGAGGGGCCAGGAGGCTGCCCAGACGCCGCCAATGGCCCGGCCGGGCGCGGGGGAGGCCAGCAAGGCGGTGGCCTCTTCTCTCCGCCCCTGGCCTCGAAGGCCGGTTAAATAGTCGGGCAGCCCCGGGCCACGCCCGTGCTCGCGCCGTCCTCCAGCCGATAGGTCCCCGAACCTATCACAGCCACAGCCACAGCCGCAGTCGGGAGGCAGCCGCGCGCAGCGAACCGGTGGCGCAGGTGTCTGGGGTCTCCGAGCACCGAGCCCGAGAGTATGATCGTGGACAAGCTGCTGGACGACAGCCGCGGCGGAGAGGGGCTGCTGGACGCGGCTGGCGACTGCGGCCTCATGACCAGCCCGCTCAACCTGGCCTACTTCTACGGCGCATCGCCACCCGCCGCCGCCCCCGGCGCCTGCGACGCCGGCTGCTCGTCGTCTGGGCCCTCGGCGCCCGGCTCGCCCGGCTCCGACTCCTCCGACTTCTCTTCTGCCTCGTCCGTGTCCTCCTGCGGGGCGGTAGAGTCCCGGCCGAGAGGCGGCGCCCGTGCCGAGCGGCTGCAAGGTACCCACCGGCCCCGGCGGGGCGGCCCCAAGACTCCCATTTGCGGGCGGCCCACCCGCGGGGAGGGGTGGTCTGGGCCGCCCAGAAGCGAAGTACCTCGGCTAGGTGTTAGGTGGCCTCGGCGCCTGCTTTAGCGGAGGTACATAATCACACTGGCCATCATTATTAGGCCACTACTGGATGCCTTGTCCCGTGCTGGGCGTAGAATATCACTCGACGCCCTTTGACCGTCTGTGAAATCTGGGCGCCGTCTAGCTGGCCTGGTAGCTTGAAACACACAGCTCTGACTTCGGGTGGGGGGAATGCACCACGTTGGGTTTTCTCTTTTTTTAAAAAAACACTTTTATTAAGGTATAATTCACATACTATGGCGAGGTTTTGGATCTGATGTAGGTGTACCTTTTTCTTGTGGATGTTTTAATGAAAGGCTGTAGCCGGCGATAAGGGTTTGGGTACTGTGTTGAAGGTCGTGATTTATTTCTTTCTAAGTACGTATTTGTGGAAATTTTAAGTAAAAGGACTTTATAAAGAAAAGAAACCGATATTATTAAGATGTAAGGTGAAGCTGGACTGAAAACCAGTTTATACCTTGAGTCTGATTTTCCGAAGTCTGCCCAGAATTTTTCTGTTTTTGTTTTGTGTGCTTTAGAATGGTTGAACCGTCTGTAGCAGAGAAAGGCGTAACGTTTCCGTTCTGCGGCTGTGAATTGTTAGTTTCTTTTCTTAATGAACGGAGTTGCATAATTTGGGGGAAAACAGGATGCCGCTGTAGGTGAACCAAAGAACGTCTAGATAATCTCAAATTTTGGAAAATCTAATCAGCATGATTTTAAAGAGCGTTCTCTTTCAGGTATTCCCCAAGGCTGGCCACTCCTGTTTTGCTTGTGTTCTAGTTTAAAATGTGATTTGTCATTTTTATTTAAAAAAGTGATTTAAACCACTCGGTTGTATAACATGCTCCCTGTATGTTAAGTGTGTAGCAAATGCCAAAATTGTGTGTGTATTTAGACCCTTTTTTTCTCCACATTTGGCCTTCATCTGGCTGAAACTATTTTGTTAGTTCTTTGGTTTACCATAGGGGATTTCTGAAACTGAATTTTTCTCCCTGTGACGTTGAGTTATTAACTACTGTCATTCCAGAGAAATACCGTGTTAGATTCTGGCAAGATATTCTTAGACTTAAACATAAAACTAACTAGTGTTTAGTTTGCTCTATCATTGAGTTGTTTCTCTCATGTATTTGATTTTATATATATATATGTGTATATATCTATATATTTAAAATTATGCCTTGTTTTTTGTCCCATCTTATTTTTTTCCATTCTCAATGGGGTTGCTGAATTATTCATTTCCTGACTCTTTGTGTGTTTACTTTGTGTTCAGCTCATCCCAAGAGGTGGTGACATAGTAGTGGTCAGAGTAGAATGCTGTACTCATGTACTGCTTTTTTTTTTTTTTTTTTTTTTTTTTTTTTTGGGTGGATCGCGGGCCTCCTCATGGCTCACGTGCCCAGCCGCTCCGTGGCATGTGGCATCCTCCCGGACCGGGGCACGAACCCGTGTCCCCTGCATCGGCAGGCAGACTCTCAACCACTGCACCACCAGGGAAGCCCTCATGTACTGCATTTTAAAGTGTATTTTAAAGCTTAAGTATGAAATGAGATTATTTCCTTTTTACTTGGAAGACCTATGTGAACAAAAACAGTCGGTGAGGGGAAATCCTGTGTGCATATGGGGAAATGCGTTTAAGCTCAGTGAATTTATGTAGCTTTCTTGGCGTAGCTGAACTGAGGGAAATAATAAACTGAGACATTGTTAAATGTTAGGCTTTGGTACATTGAGATCTTTGGAAGAAGTTTGTTTTGTACCTTCTTAGGTGAGTGGAATTGATAGACTTTAAAATTTCTATGTGGACATAAAGCCTTTGGTTTGAAAAGCTAAAAATTTATCATTTATTCCTTGCTCCCCCAAGGTTTTTCAAAAGTCTAGAATAATTACAGATTTATGAGAGTCAGGGTGGCAAAATCTGTGATCCTGTTTCATGGGTGGATAGGGCTGAGAGACAGAGAATTAATTTGGGTTTATCTCTCAGCTCTGGGGTTCCCTGAAACAATATTTTTATGAGCCTTAATTCCTTAGGCTTCCTGGTCGGGAAAGGTATGAGGCAAGCGAGTTGAAGAGGCTTTGCTGTCTGTTAGTTGGGAACTTTATAACGTTGGATAGCTATGCTTTTGAGACTATTAATATTCATGTCTGTGAAGACACTTAATTGGGACATGTTTTGTTTTGTTTTGTTTTTTGAACAGTTGAGCCCCATATGGGGGTTGGAAGGCAGCAGAGAGGACCCTTTCAAGGTGTTCGCGTGAAGAACTCGGTGAAGGAACTCCTGTTGCACATCCGAAGTCATAAACAGAAGGCTTCCGGACAAGCTGTCGATGATTTTAAGGTGGCACCTAATTTATTTGTTTTGGGTTGGGGGATAGGGAGGTTAGCCTGTCAGTGTTATTACTCTCTGCTAACCTAGGTTGGGCAAGTCTTTTGTAGACCACAAAGTCCGTAGTACAGAGAGCATATTTGTCCTGCTGTCTGCTATATTGCTGTCACTTGGCCCACTGCTAGGCACTTGGCAGGTGTGCAAGAGAAATTTAATGAATAAATAAATGAAGGCAAGTTGGGGGCAAGGAAATTAATGTGGTTCAGTTAAAATGGAACATTTTGACTAGAAAGGGAAAACTCAAGTGGCCTTATTAATTTTATCTTAACCTGAGTTGAACTAAGGTAAAAGTGCAATTGGGGGAAGTTGCAAGGTAGGATGGAAATTAACATAGAAAATAAATATTGCTAGAATACCTATGTCAAAGGTTTATGGTGAACTGTAAAGAGGGGTAGAGATAAGTCTGTTTGTTGATGTATGTTAATCAGGAAACCATTTATCACACACTAAATTGGAAACTTTTTTTCCTTATAGACACAAGGTGTGAACAGAGAGCAATTCACAGGTAAGAGTTACCTCTATTTATAATATCATGGGGGCTGTAGGGTAAAACAGTGTAGTGTGATTATGGGTAAAAATTTGTGAAATAAAATTATCACAGATTCCATATTCCTTTCTTGGGTATAGAATTGAAGAACACAGTTTCATGTAGTGGGAAAAGGAAAGGCCCTGAATTATCGTCTGATGGACCAGCTTGCAAAAGACCAGTTTTGTTACATACCCAGTTTTTGGTACGTATCTCAACTATTTTCCTCTGAATACCCATTGGAAATTATTCCTGGAATAATTTTGGAAGGGAGTGCGCAACTTATTTTTTCTCCCTTTCCAGACGCCGCCTCAAACACCCACACCCGCGGAAAGCATGGAAGATGTCCATCACAATGAATCCAAACAGGACAGCAGTGCTGATCTGCTTCAGAGCATTATCAACATTAAGAATGAATGCAGCCTGGTTTCCCTGAACACTGTCCAAGTTAGCTGGATGCGCCCTGTGGGGGTCCCTCCGAGCTCCCCCCACGAGCAGTGTCAGGACTTCCACGGAGGGCAGGTCTTCTCTCCACCTCAGAAATACCAACCCTTCCAAGTCAGCAGCTCCCCACACATGATGGATCAGGCTTCCATGTACCAGTATTCTCCACAGAACCAGAACGTGCAGCAGCTGCCGCCACAGCACTACACCCACAACCCAGCTCTGGAATACAGTCCTTATTCCAGAACTTCCCAGTCCCCCAGCTATGAACCAAACATCTTTGATGGTCAAGAACCACAGTTCTGCCCGAACCAAAGTTTTGCATCCCTTCTAAGTGATCCCAGGGAATCTGAGAATATTGCTGTTCCCCCACAGACTGCCCCCAGCGTTCAGCAGCAAAATGATGCCCACGTGCAGAACTTCAACATGATGTCACACAGTGCCTGCGAGGCCCTGGCGAGGCATGATGCAGGCTCTGCCCCTTTAAACACACCACTGCCCTTCCCGAGCATCGTCGGAAATCCAATGAACACCACACAGTTAGGGAAGTCATTTTTTCAGTGGCAAGTAGAGCAGGAAGAAAGCAAATTGGCACGTATCTCCCAAGACCAGTTTCTTTCAAAGGATGCAGATGGTGACACGTGAGTATGTCCCTTTATCTCATTGAGCTGATTTGGTAAGCCATGCTTGCTGTACATAGTGGGCACAGAATTTCTCTAGGGGATGCCAGCTTAGATCTGAGTAAGTGGTTGGCTAAACAAGATGACTAGTGGGCGTAGAATGATAGTTCATATTTCAAGCGAGAGTTTTCCTTTCTTTTTTTTTTCTGGCTGAACAAATTACCTGTTCTAAATTAATAAAAATGTACATGTCTTTGAATAATTGGTTTTGAAAGATTAGCATAGATTGTGTCTGTAGAGCAAAATCAGTTAGATCATGGTTAGTTGGTCATGATCAACTGTGAGTTGATTTGTAGATTGAATACTGATCTGTCCTGACATCTTTGTGGTGTTGGGCAAGTTGTTTTTGTTTTTGTTTTTTGTGGTATGCGGGCCTCTCACTGTTGTGGCCTCTCCCATTGCAGAGCACAGGCTCTGGACATGCAGACTCAGCGGCCATGGCTCATGGGCCCAGCCGCTCCGCGGCATGTGGGATCTTCCCGGACTGGGGCACGAACCCGTGTCCCCTGCATCGGCAGGCGGACTCTCAACCACTGCGCCACCAGGGAAGCCCTGGGCAAGTTGTTTAACCTCTCTATGCCTCAGTTTCTGGGCATGTAAAATGATAATACCTCCCTCAGTGGGTTTTTATGAACATTAAGAATAATGGATTTAAAGCAATCAGCGTGGTGCCTGGCATACTTCTTTTTTCTGGTAACCTAATTCATATTGTTGCAACTCAGATGTATTGTCAGCATAGCAGAAAAGACAAATTATGCTCTGTACTGTTTGATTTGAGTACACCAACATATCAAGAAAGGGGCTAAAGGAAGAATTTTTTTTTTTAAAAGGATGAACTTAGTGAAATAAATAATTCACTTCTTTTCTTTTCCTTTTTTTTTCCCCCTCAGGTTCCTTCATATTGCTGTTGCCCAGGGGAGAAGGGCACTTTCCTATGTCCTTGCAAGAAAGATGAATGCGCTTCACATGCTGGATATTAAAGAGCACAATGGACAGGTGAGGATCTTGACAGAGGGAAATGGCAAAGTGTGGTCATGGGGACAAGATGACGGCCGGTCTCATATTTATGTGTAGATCATTTCAGAGTTCCAGACCAAGAGAGTTTAGTTAATATTAACCTCTGGATGTTGACTCTTTGTCACTGCCAACCTTGAAGTTATTAACTTTAACTTTGTAGTTATTTGACCAAAGACTAATTGGGTATAATAAAGCTGCACCCTAAGCTTATTTTAGTTTCCTTGTGTTACAGTATCTTATTGCTTATTAACGGGATTTATTTTCTCTATGTGGAGTTTTTTCCCCTCAGTCTTAGTTTAGGTTCATATTCTTTGTTACTATAGTGTTATGGGTTTTAAAAAATATTTTTTTCCTCTGAATGTCCACAGAGTGCCTTTCAGGTGGCAGTGGCTGCCAATCAGCACCTCATTGTGCAGGATCTGGTGAACCTCGGGGCCCAGGTGAATACGACTGACTGCTGGGGAAGAACCCCCCTGCATGTTTGTGCTGAGAAGGGCCACTCCCAGGTGCTTCAGGTAAGAGGCAGCGAGCCAGGCTCCCATTACCATAGGGCCAAAGGGGTACAGCTTGGATATTAGGAGTTGGATGTAGATTGCCTGTTGCAATGCTCTCTTTTGAGTTGACTTACTCCTTTCTTGGAACACTAGTAGATAAGTATTTGTGTAGTTTGTCTTTTGCTGATAGATGTCTGTTTTTAAATTCTGCAGGCAATCCAGAAGGGAGCAGCGGGGAGCAATCAGTTTGTGGATCTGGAGTCAACTAACTATGATGGTAAGTGATTGATGCATTATTGGGTGAAGAAACATTCAGAGAGAGGGGCCCATTAATTCTAAGGGTATTCAGTTCAATACCAATAAGGAAGGGAGGTAATTAAAGCTAAAATATTCTATAGATAAAATTAGCACTAAGACCCAGTGGAGGGATTACTCAGATTACCTTACTAGTTCTTGTGAAGCCCATATGTAGGTCATGTGAGAGGCCACCCTCAAGGTTTGTAATTATAGAACAACTAAAAGAATTGATGGGATGCTTGACCACTGATTTCTTATGCTTTTTTCTAGGCCTGACCCCTCTACACTGTGCAGTTGTGGCCCACAATGCTGTGGTTCACGAACTCCAGAGAAATCAACAGCCCCATTCACCTGAAGTTCAGGAGCTTTTGCTGAAGAATAAGAGTCTAGTTGATACAATTAAGTGTCTGATTCAAATGGGAGCCGCAGTGGAAGCTAAGGTAAAATTCACAGAAGAGTTTGGAAATGGGATGTGGGAGAGACGTGGTTATAGCCAAAGACCTTCTTCCCAAGTATAGATTAAAACTTTTCCCCCTTATTTTATTTCTGCCATCTTTTTAAATTAATGGAGTAACAATGTATGGATAGTTAAGCTTAGATTTTAAAAGATCACCTCATCTGCTTTCTTGATTTGCTTTTAATCTATGGATTATTATTCAAAAGATCATTTAGCTGTGAAACGAATGTCTTTATTTGAAAGGAAAAGAAAATGCTTGAAATTGGTATTTTCATTTTGCTTCCATTGTTATACACAGATACTAAAGGTAGTGCATTTTGTAAGGGTTTCTTCATTGTTGTTGGATCTGGACTTAATCTTCTGTTTTTTAAACTGGAAAATATTTTATTATCTTTAAATTTGAGGTTTATTTGCTGAGTATTTGCTGTGTACAAGGCTGAGGTACTGAGTTAGGGGCCCTAGGGGAAAATACCTAAATCATAAGCCACTTGGGTCCTTGGGGAGCTTACTGTCTAGTAGAAATGGTGAGAGATATAGCTAATTTTAAGTCTACAGGGTGGCCACCAAGTCTGGAAACATAGGCGAATACACAGTAAGTGTTTTTTTATATTACAGCACATGATAAAACAGTACAGTCTATGTTTCTATATTTTATGGCCACCCGGTATACAAGGGTAGATGTGGTAAAAGGGAATTAGGAGGAATGAGAGATTCCATGGAGCTTGGGTTGCAGGAAGGGTTTGTGGAGAAGGGGGCACTCCGAGTGAGTCTCCAAGGGTGAACCAGACATGAGAGACTGGGTGAGAAGCATATCCAGGGCGTGGTTTCTGGATGTTCATTTTTTTCCCCCTCTTGCCTTTGACAAGGATCGTAAAAGTGGCCGCACAGCCCTGCATTTGGCAGCTGAAGAAGCAAATCTGGAACTCATTCGCCTCTTTTTGGAACTGCCCAGTTGCCTGTCTTTTGTGAATGCAAAGGTACTTTTAGAAGTGTTAAAGAACTGCACAAGATTTGGAATAACCTTCTTTATACCTTCTTCAAGCTTTTGAGCTGCTTTCATGAAAGTTCCCCTTCCTGATGGGTGTCGTTTTGTCTCTTTGTCTTTAGGCTTACAATGGAAACACCGCCCTCCATGTTGCTGCCAGCCTGCAATATCGGGTGACACAGTTGGATGCAGTCCGCCTGTTGATGAGGAAGGGAGCAGACCCAAGTACTAGGAACTTGGAGAACGAACAGCCAGTACATTTGGTTCCTGATGGCCCTGTGGGAGAACAGGTGAGGGCCACAGAAGGGAGAAGAAATACTTTTAGGCATTGTTCCGAAACATAAGGGGCAGGGGCCAGCTGGCACTCTTCAGGTGGGCTTTATCAACATCTGTGTCTCAACAGTGGTCACTGTAGCCCTTTAGAGTAAATTGCTTTGTCTCCAAAGGAAGAGTAAGAAATTTGAGGGTTTATCCATGGACCCCAAATGGTCAGAAGTCAGGTAGTCTTTCTTTTTCTTTCAAGACACAAACTTGGGTTTGGGCTAAGTCAGAATGGTTTGACATTTGGAAGTTGATGAAAGAGGAGGAACCAAGGTTCCTGCACACACTGAAGAAAGAGAATCTTAGTTTTGTGAGTAAGTGATGAGCCTTCAAATATTGTGCATATTAAATGAGTCAGTATTTGTATTCAGAATAGTCCCAGGCACATAAGTGGGTGCTGCTCAGTAAACATTAGCTGTTAACAATGATTTCTATCTACTAACTGATCCTAAATAAAAAATGGGAAGGTTATTTATGTAATTTAGAACCTAGAAATATTTTATACTATAAATAAAATTATGCTTTTCTCATCATATGGTTCTACTGGATTGGCCAGAAAGTTCGTTCGGTTTTCACTGTACGCTGTTATAAAAAAGTTGAATGAACTTTTTGGCCAACCCAATACATTATATTTGGGGATTGAACAGTTTCATATGACTAAACTTTTCTTGATAACAAGAACTGACTCTTTTTAAGAACTTAAAATATATATTTTTAATTTATTTTTGTAAGCAGCAGGTTCTTAATAGTTATCCATTTTATGCATATTAGTGTATATATGTCAATCCCAATCTCCCAATTCATCACACCACCACCAACCCCCCTAAACATTTTTCATAAAGACAGGATCTAGCCAACTCCTTTTTCTTTTTTAATCTAAGGGTGTAATTCATCTTAAAGAGGCACGCTTCTTCATTTTGTGATGCTTGCAGATCAGATTTTTTCCCTGGAGGAAACAAGAGATTGTGGCTGTGGGTCGTTACATACTTTAATAATCACAAAATAAAATCTATGGAATGCAATTTAGCCTTGCCTTTGATTTACAGCCCTCGCTATGACCATAATATTATAGTAACTCATATTTGTGGAGCTCTTTGTAGCATAAAATGAATCACTTGATGATTTGTAGAGTTTTCCTGTACATTATACCACTTAATAGTTAGGAAAACTTTGCAGGGTGAAGGTTCAGCTGGGAAGACTGAGACTCAGAGTGGGTCCAGCCATAGGGACCATCATTAAATAGTAAATGGCAGAGTCCTAAGCACACTCTTCACTTCTGGTTTGCTGTTTGTGGTGTGCAGTCATAGAGTGATGTTCTCAGGGAGTATTGAGCATGGAGAGCTGCTTGACTCTTTGCTAAATGTTCTTGGATTACTCTCCTTCCTGCTTTTGTATTTTTTGTGTCTGTGTGTGGAGGGAGGGTCTTTTCCTTTGCTTTTATTGTCAGACCATGGTCATTGTGTCTCCTTCTAGCAGCTGTCAGTTGCATCCCCTACTCCAGTCTTCTTTCTTCTAATTTGTTGCTTATCTGCTGTGGGCTGAGAGACAGATCATAAAATTTGTCAGGCTGGGGTATAAAATCAATTACTAGACTCTGAATGAGCCTGGGGGTTTCCTGTGATCCATATAGTCATGCACAGATGCTTTAATTCTTGGATGTCACAGCTATCTTGACTCGAAGGGCATTATAATTTACTTGTGTGTGTAATGTGGGCTCTCGGTTCTTGGTTGAGGCTGACATCAAGGTAGGTGAGATATTATAATAACCATGATTACTGCGTTATATTAAATGTTCTCACAAACAACAGTAAAGATTAGGAAAAGAATATAGGTCTTAGTTAAACTTTTGGAGATTTTCAACCTCAGATAATATTTTTATATTTTTATTTTTTATTTTTTTGCGGTACGCGGGCCTCTCACTGTTGTGGCCTCTCCCGTTGCGGAGCACAGGCTCCGGACGCGCAGGCTCAGCGGCCATGGCTCACGGGCCTAGCTGCTTCGCGGCATGTGGGATCTTCCCGGACCGGGGCATGATCCCGTGTCCCCTGCATCGGCAGGCGGACTCTCAACCACTGCGCCACCAGGGAAGCCCGGCCTCAGATGATTTTTAATGGAGATGCTTTACTTTCTTGTACTCAAAGATCATTATAGCAGGTCTGTAGTAAACTTTAAAAGGAGTTGTAGTACTTTTTTTGTCCCCTTAAAATCTTGACACATACTGTTGCATATTTCTTCATATACTTACTTACAAAGAAACTGAAGGAGATGTGGTACTTTGATCGTAGAAAAAAAAAAAACCCTTACAAATCCTATTGGTTTCCTTTCCAGATCCGACGTATCCTGAAGGGAAAGTCCATTCAGCAGAGAGCTCCACCGTATTAGCTCCATTGGCTGGGAGCCTGGTCAGCAATACTCACTGTCAGTTAGGCAGTCCTAATGTATCTGTACATAGACCATTTGCTCTGTATTGGCAAATGTAAGTTGTTTCTATGAAACAAACATATTTAGTTCACTATTATATAGTGGGTTATGTTAAAAGAAAAGAAGAAAAATATCTAATTCCTCTTGGCAGATTTTAATATTTCATACCCAGGTATCTGGGATCTAGACATCTGAATTTAATCTGAGTGGTAAAATTGACTTCAATTTAACAGTAGCTTTTGGGTAGGAGAAGGCTTTGATTTGTGGCATAAGGCATTGCTTATGTAGCTATTGCCAGTTTAAAAGGAGGTGAATTGTAAACTTTTTCTGTAAAGAAAAATGAAAGCATTAGGAAGTTAAAAAATAAATCTGGACATAGTGTTGAGGCTTCGTTTGGCCTGATGCAGTACCTGATAGTTATTGGTGTTTGAAAGTCTCTAGTCGTTGGACTAGATGGAGGGTACCATGGTTAAAGTTTGATCTTTGCAAACTGTATATAATTGTTATTTTTGTCTTTTAAAATATTTGTACAAATATTTGTACATTGGTCATTAACATGGCCACATTTGAAATGTGTAAATCAATAAACTAGAAAAGAACAAGTGGATTTTCACTATTTTTAAATATCATATGCATTCAGAGGAGCTGTGTAATCACCATCTCTGTAGATGAAACAGATGGAGAGTTGTTCCTTTAGTGGCTGGCAGAGCTCTGTTTGAATTGTAAATATGCTTTGAGATGCGATACATTATTTGTAGAGAATTGCATGTGTTAAAGAGAACACCTTTTTATGACTCACTTTCTAGAGTTTATGATTTACTTGCTCTGCTGGAATGTTTGTTTTACCTTTATAAGAACAACAAAAAGTCAATATTGAAACATGTTTTACTGGTTTTCTGTTGTCAAATAATGATAACGTACCATGATGTTTCATATTACCATTCAGAAAAAAAATGCCTAATTTTTTAGTAATTTTAATTCTAATAATATTATTTTGCTTATTTCTGGCATACCCTGAGGAATGTATTTGGCTTTGATTGTACATTAATTCTTTGTAATAAATTTGATTCATGAAAAACCCTTCTTTATTTCTTTTCTTTAAAAAAATTTTTTTTAACATCTTTATTGGAGTATAATTGCTTTACAATGGTGTGTTAGTTTCTGCTTTATAACAAAGTGAATCAGTTATACATATACATATGTTCCCATATCTCTTCCCTCTTGTGTCTCCCTCCCACCCTCCCTATCCCACCCCTATAGATGGTCACAAACCACTGAGCTGATCTCCCTGTGCTATGCGGCTGCTTCCCTCTAGCTACCTGTTTTACATTTGGTAGTGTATATATGTCCATGCCACTCTCTCACTTTGTCACAGCTTACCCTTCCCCCTTCCCATATCCTCAAGTCCATTCTCTAGTAGGTCTGTGTCTTTATTCCCATCTTGCTCCTAGGTTCTTCATGGCCATTTTTTTTTTTTTTTTAGATTCCATATATGTGTGTTAGCATACGTTTTTTGTTTTTCTCTTTCTGACTTACTTGACTCTGTATGACAGACTCTAGGTCCATCCACGTTACTAAAAATAACTCAATTTCGTTTCTTTTTATGGCTGAGTAATATTCCATTGTATATATATGCCACATCTTCTTTATCCATTCATCCATTGATGGACACTTAGGTTGCTTCCATGTCCTGGCTCTTGTAAATAGAGCTGCAATGAACATTTTGGTACATGACTCGTTTTGAATTACGGTTTTCTCAGGGTATATGCCCAGTAGTGGGATTGCTGGGTCATATGGTAGTTCTATTTGTAGTTTTTTAAGGAACCTCCATACTGTTCTCCATAGTGGCTGTACCAATTTACATTCCCACCAGCAGTGCAAGAGTGTTCCCTTTTCTCCACACCCTCTCCAGCATTTATTGTTTCTAGATTTTTTGATGATGGCCATTCTGACTGGTGTGAGATGATATCTCATTGTAGTTTTGATTTGCATTTCTCTAATGATTAATGATGTTGAGCATTCTTTCATGTGTTTGTTGGCAGTCTGTATATCTTCTTTGGAGAAATGTCTATTTAGGTCTTCTGCCCATTTTTGGATTGGGTTGTTTATTTTTTTGTTATTGAGCTGCATGAGCTGCCTGTAAATTTTAGAGATTAATCCTTTGTCAGTTGATTCATTTGCAAATATTTTCTCCCATTCTGAGGGCTGTCTTTTGGTCTTGTTTATGGTTTCCTTTGCTGTGCAAAAGCTTTGAAGTTTCATTAGGTCCCATTTGTTTATTTTTGTTTTTATCTCCATTACTCTAGGAGATGGGTCAAGAAGGATCTTGCTGTGATTTATGTCATAGAGTGTTCTGCCTATGTTTTCCTCTAAGAGTTTGATAGTTTCTGGCCTTACATTTAGGTCTTTAATCCATTTTGAGCTTATTTTTGTGTATGGTGTTAGGGAGTGATCTAATCTCATACTTTTACATGTACCTGTCCAATTTTCCCAGCACCACTTATTGAAGAGGCTGTCCTTTCTCCACTGTATATTCCTGCCACCTTTATCAAAGATAAGGTGACCATATGTGTGTGGGTTTATCTCTGGGCTTTCTTTCCTGTTCCATTGATCTATATTTCTGTTTTTGTGCCAGTACTATACTGTCTTGATTACTGTAGCTTTGTAGTATAGTCTGAAGACAGGGAGCCTGATTCCTTCAGCTCCATTTTTCTTTGTCAAGATTGCTTTGGCTATTCGGGGTCTTTTGTGTTTCCATACAAATTGTGAAATTTGTTGTTCTAGTTCTGTGAAAAATGCCAATGGTAGTTTGTTAGGGATTGCATTGAATCTGTAGATTGCTTTGGGTAGTAGACTCATTTTCATAATGTTGATTCTTCCAATCCAAGAACATGATATATCTTTCCCATCTATCTGTATCATCTTTAATTTCTTTCATCAGTGTCTTATAATTTTCTGCATACAGGTCTTTTGTCTCCTTAGGTAGGTTTATTCCTAGATATTTTATTCTTTTTGTTGCAAGGGTAAATGGGAGTGTTTTCTTAATTTCACTTTCAGATTTTTCATCATTAGTGTTTAGGAGTGCCAGAGATTTCTGTGCATTAATTTTGTATCCTGCTGCTTTACCAAATTCATTGATTAGCTCTAGTAGTTTTCTGGTAGCATCTTTAGGATTATCTATGTATAGTATCATGTCATCTGCAAACAGTGACAGCTTTACTTCTTTTCTGATTTGGATTCCTTTTATTTCTTTTTCTTCTCTGATTGAATTCACCTGTGAAGCCATCTGGTCCTGAGCTTTTGTTTGTTGGAAGATTTTTAACCACAGTTTCAATTTCAGTGCTTGTGATTGGTCTGTTCATATTTTCTATTTCTTCCTCGTTCAGTCTCAGCAGGTTGTGCATTTCTAAGAATTTTTCCATTTCTTCCAGGTTGTCCATTTTATTGGCATAGAGTTGCTTGTAGTAATCTCTCATGATCCTTTGTTTTTCTGCAGTGTCAGTTGTTACTTCTCCTTTTTCATTTCTAATTCTGTTGATTTGAGTCTTCTTCCTTTTTTCTTTCTTTTTTTTTTTTTTTGCGATACGTGGGCCTCTCACTGTCGTGGCCTTTCCCGTTGCCGGACGCGCAAGCTCAGCGGCCATGGCTCACGGACCCAGCCGCTCCGCGGCACGTGGGATCCTCCCAGACCGGGGCACGAACCCGTATCCCCTGCATCGGCAGGCGGACTCTCAACCACTGCGCCACCAGGGAGGCCCCTTCCTCTTTTCTTGATGAGTCTGGCTAATAGTTTATCAATTTTGTTTATCTTCTCAAAGATCCAGCTTTTAGTTTTATTGATCTTTGCTATCGTTTCCTTCATTTCTTTTTTATTTATTTCGGATCTGATCTTTATGATTTCTTTTCTTCTGCTAACTTTGGGGATTTTTTGTTCTTTCTCTAATTGCTTTAGGTGCAAGGTTAGGTTGTTTATTTGAGATGTGTCCTCTTTCTTAAGGTATGATTGTATTGCTATAAACTTCCCTCTTAGAACTGCTTTTGCTGCATCCCATAGGTTTTGGGTCGTCGTGTCACCTTTGTCATTTGTTTCTAGGCATTTTTTGATTTCCTCTTTGATTTCTTCAGTGATCATTTGGTTATTAAGTAGTGTATTGTTTAGCCTCCATGTGTTTGTAATTTTTACAGAACTTTTCCTGTAATTGATACCTAGTCTCATAGCGTTGTGGTCAGAAAAGATACTTGATACGATTTCAATTTTCTTAAATTTACTAAGGCTTGATTTGTGAGCCAAGATAGGATATGTCCTGGAGAATGTTCCATTAACACTTGAGAAGAAAGTGTATTCTGTTGTTTTTGGATGGAATGTCCTCTAAATATCAATTAAGTCCATCTTATTTAATGTATCATTTAAAGCTTGTGTTTCCTTATTTATTTTCATTTTAAATGATCTGTCCATTGGTGAAAGTGGGGTGTTAAAGTCCCCTACTATGATTGTGTTACTGTCGATTTCCCTTTTTATGACTGTTAGCATTTGCCTTATGTACTGAGGTGCTCCTATGTTGGGTGCATAAATATTTACAATTGTTATATCTTCTTCTTCGATCGATCCCTTGATCACTATGTAGTGTCCTTCTTTGTCTCTTGTAATAGTCTTTATTTTAAAGTCTATTGTGTCTGATATGAGAATTGCTACTCCAGCTTTCTTTTGATTTCCATTTGCATCGAATATCTTTTTCCATCCCTTCACTTTCAGTCTGTATTTGTCCCTAGGTCTGAAGTGGGTCTCTTGTAGACAGCATATATATGGGTCTTGTTTTTGTATCCATTCAGCCAGTCTGTGTCTTTTGGTGGGAGCATTTAATCCATTTACATTTAAGGTAGTTATCAATATGTATGTTCCTATTCCCATTTTCTTCATTGTTTTGGGTTTCTTATTGTAGGTCTTTTCCTTCTCTTGTGTTTCTTGCCTAGAGAATTTCCTTTAGCATTTGTTATAAAGCTGGTTTGGTGGTGCTGAACTCTCTCAGCTTTTGCTTGTCTGTAAAGGTTTTAATTTCTCCATCAAATCTGAATGAGATCCTATTTGTTGTTTTCTGTTGCTGCTTTTAATATGGTTTCTTTGTATTTAATTTCTGACAGTTTGATTAATATGTATCTTGGTGTGTTTCTCATTGGATTTATCCTGTATGGGACTCTCTGTGCT